TGTGAGGTAAGTTTAGTCTTTTTTTAGGATACCTTGTAGTAAAGCCTCGACCCCTAGCAACATGCAGTAGATCTTCTAAACCTTTTTGTATGACATGACTACGATGCCTTTCAATCTGTTTTGTTTTTTTTTTTTTGGTGATTCAGTGGGGAAGGCAGGCCCCTATCTATTTTCTCTAAATAGATAATGGAGTTGTTTTTTTTTTAAAAAAAAAGTGTCAGCAACCTTGAAAACCACAACGCGGTAATTAGGTATAGCTACCATCATGCCGTTCAATCTTACTAAATTTGGCGAACTCCGTTTCATAATCAATGGCATGATGAAGGTCACATTCCAAAGTATTCATCCACTTTTTTTCACCTATCCACGGAGGATTCTTTTAAAGGGATTATGTCCCATCGTATAGTGTATGAGATGAAGGGTAAAAGGGCAAAAGATTCGTTAATTAGTTATTGACCTGTTTTTTTAGATAAGATAGGATATAAGATAGACTGTCTAAAGTCTTCGTACACAACACAAATACTATGTGTATTAAAATATGGGTGTCGTTTGCATACGGATGCATGTGGAAGTAGGGTGCACCTTCAAATTTTATCATGGTATATGATTTTGATATAAAATATTTTTAAGATTATCTCAAAATCTATTTTTATATCTAATTATAATATTTTAAATTTAAAAAATATTTAAAATCAGGTAGATTTATAAACATATGAAAATTTTAAAAATGGACGGTGTAGATAATATGTTGTAAAATACACTATTTTTTAGATCTAAAATCTTTTTATTTTTCATAGCCATTCATCTTGATGTCGAGATGATCAATTAAAGGGTTTTTCAACATTAAAACTATTTTTTCTGATGGATTTTTTAGGGGCATCCGTAGTTCTACATTATAAGGTAGCAACATCCTTATATAAACGTTTTCCTTAAAATATACAAGATTATTCCTTTTCCTGGTAGGAAAAAGTTTATGTAACTACGAGGCTCTAAACAATCAAATTAGGCTATACCTCCAAAATTTCACTAGAAGAGGTTCTTTTGACGCTCAGATATCTTCAAATTGATCATCTCCACCTCAACATGTATGGACATAAGAAAAAAATGGATTTCAAGTTTTGGAAATAGTGCATCTTATAATGTATTTTTGGGCCGTGAATTTTTCAAATTTTTAAGTTTTCATGGATCTGCTTGATCTACACTATTTTTTAAGTTTTAAATTTTATAATTAAAGATGAAAATATATTTTAAGGCTATCACAAAGATTTTCAGTATTGAAACCATATTTCTTGATACTATTTGAAAGTGCAGTCTACTTTGATTGTTTAGAGCCTCGGCCTTATACAAACCCATCCTTTACTTTAATATGAAGTTTGTGCTAGCTAACTTTCTAAATACCAGAACGAAACCATAGTCAAGGACCCTAAGTTGCCTGTTTGATATTCTTTAGATAACTAATATAAGGTCATTGATCATCAAGTTTACACATCCCAAAAGACCTTAAATAGTCAGGGTATCCAACAAGTTGCAGTTCTCCAAGACTTGGGGATCATGCACTAGTGTGTCACCATTGCATTGTTAGAGCAGACCAAGCTAACCTTGGAAGCTATTGTAACATGTTGTTAAAGAGTCTATCACCATAGTTCAACTAGGTCATAACCTAGCCCAATCAGCACACACTCTTAGATAAATGCCACACAAGTTCTTAGTTACTGTATTAAAAAAAAAAAGAAAAAAAAGAAAGATCCATATTGAAAGATCCATATTTGAACTTTTATGACTCAATGTGATGACCTCATCATGAAGAGCTTATGATATTTGAGCAATTTATAAATTCTAAATCATAGAAAAGTATATAATATGGCTATTTACTTTTGGTATAAGGTGGTCACATTAATATTGACCATTGGATGTGAATTGGGTGGCATTTATTCTATTTACCAAGTTCAAAGTTCAAAAGGAATTTTCTCGAACTTTATGACACACCCAAGCTATTAGATTTTACATCGGATGACTATAAGTAATTGTGATTTGTGACTTCTTTGTATCAAAGGTAAATTATCTCATTGTATACAATCCCTTAGATCAGTTTGTTCATTATATATA